AGGGATATTCAAAGATTTCTGGTCCATTAACACAACTTACTCGTAAGAATCAGAAGTTTGAATGGACAGATAAGTGTGAGCAAAGCTTTCAAGAGTTGAAGAATAGATTGGTCACAGCACCAATTCTTGCTATTCCCGACAATGGAGGAAACTTTGTGGTATATACTGATGCTTCTCACAAAGGCTTGGGTTGTGTACTTATGCAACATGGACGGGTGATAGCTTATGGGTCTAGACAGCTCAAGACACATGAGAGGAATTACCCTACACATGATTTAGAACTTGCTGCCATAATTTTTGCACTTAAGTTATGGAGGCACTATTTGTATGGAGAAGAGTTTGAGGTGCACACTGATCACCAAAGCTTGAAATATTTATTTTCACAAAAAGAGCTTAATTTGAGACAAAGAAGATGGATGGAGTATCTGAATGACTATAGATGCAAAATTGTCTATCAACCTGGAAAGGGAAATGTGGTTGCAGATGCACTTAACAGAAAATCAACTGGCACTTTAGCAAGCTTAATGGTGATGGAGTGGAAACTCCTAGAAGAATTCAAGAATTTGAATGTCAGGTTTTTGCCACCAAAGTCTGATGTACTAGTGTCTAGTCTGATGGTTCAACCTACGCTGTTGTCAAAAATCAAAGAAGCACAACAGAAAGATTCAAGATTGGTGGAGTGGATGAAGGACAGTGGAAAAAGCTCTAAAATGGGTCTTCATATTTCGGATGATGGAATCATAAGACTTGGAGATAGAATTTGTGTTCCATATGATGAAGGGTTGAGGATGGAATTGCTCCAAGACGCACACAAGTCCAATTATACCATTCATCCTGGGAGTACCAAAATGTATCATGACTTAAAAGAGACATTTTGGTGGAAAAGCATGAAAAAGGATGTAGCTACATATGTGTCCAAATGCTTGACTTGTCAAGTGGTAAAAGCAGAGCACCAGAAGCCAGGAGGGCAACTTCAACCTTTGCCTATACCGGAGTGGAAGTGGGAAGCCATCTCAATGGACTTCATTGTGGGATTGCCGTAGACGAGAAGGCAATTTGATGCAATTTGGGTGATTGTGGACAGATTAACAAAGTCAGCTCACTTTTTGGCCATAAAACAAAAAGACCCATTAGACAAGTTGGCCAAGCTTTATGTTCAGGAGATTGTTAAACTCCATGGGGTCCCAGTGAGCATTGTATCAGACAGAGATCCAAGGTTTACTGCAAGATTTTGGAGATCTTTCCAGAAAGCCATGGGAACTCAATTGAAATTAAGCACAGCATACCACCCACAAACCGATGGGCAATCTGAAAGGACCATTCAGGTGCTTGAGGACATGCTAAGAGCTTGTGCATTAGATTTGCCTGAGAGTTGGGATGATCATCTTCCATTGGTAGAGTTTGCTTATAATAATAGCTATCATTCCAGTATCAAAATGGCACCTTATGAGGCTCTTTATGGCAAGAGATGTAGAACTCCAATTTGTTGGGCAGAAGTTGGTTATGGAAGGGTAATGGGGCCTGATTTTGTGCAGCAAACAACAGAAAAGGTGAAATTAATTCAGCAGAGGCTTAAAGTGGCTCAAGACAGACAAAAGAGTTATGCAGACAATAGAAGGAGACC